AAAGACGTACTAATGTTTTGCCTGGGAAATAAGTAACTTGGAAAGTTTAGCCAGTTTTGCACCTCAAATGCCCCCTCCCCCAAAAGATCTGTTGTACGCTAATACGTTTCCTAGACCGTCCATTTAAAAGTTCATGAACAACCAACCCACCCTGAGTACCATTTTAAATCAGCCAGGTACATGAGGTAGTGACGAATTGTCCCAGGAAAAGCAAAAGGCCATTGACACACTTTTGTACAATTCTTTTATTGCCATGGCTGGTTGAGAGGCTGAAGATACTTCAAGGAGCAAGGACAGAACTTGAGAAAAGCCACAAGAAAAACTATTGTTAATCCCTTAGCTGTAAGGACAAATGTTCACAAAAGATTGTTGTTGAAAATCATTGCAAGTTGATAAACACTGCCATTGAAAGCTGCGCCCTTTTCTTTTGTGTACCGATCAGCTATTTAGAGAAAAATTACGTTTGTCACTCTTGAGTGTCTACATTGACACGGTTCTTCATACATTCCCTGTGGCACGTAAGCTGAGAACTTGAGACTTTGTCAAAGGAGAAATCAAAGTTTGATCCCCAATAATATTACATTGAGAGTCTACGTAGAGTAACACACCTAGGCAGTGCTACAACATTCGCTCTTTGCCTACTCCAGATACTTCCAACAGTGATGACACAGCTGATATACAACCAGCAACAGTCAGTGTATCTGTTATGACAGGAAAAATGGCATTCTCCGGATGCTTTAATAAGGATTCTGTTCTACAAGTTTGCATTGCTCAGTTGTGACAGAGTTAGAACGAAAATATCATCTGGATCTTACCATACGCCTCATGATTTCTCAGCTCCCTGAAGCTAATATTCTAAGCCTTGTCAGGGTGCAAACAAAGTCAGTTTTACAGCTTATGTCCTTGTTTATAGGGTCTTTTCATATCTTAAACTAAACTGGATACGAGGTCTTCAATTAAAGCCTTTGGTGGGCGGCAACCAGTCATTCGTATCTTGAAAAATATCATTTGCTGAATATATTGAAGCAAATGTGTTACTTCTCATAAGTTCCTCACAGTTCAAGGTGTTGACCTTTGAGGTCATCAACAAACTGTATATTAGTGCTGTTAGTCACCCTGGAGGGACGAAACAGGGAAGGGGCGAGTCATCATTAACCAACGAGGGCCAAAACGCTCCAAACTGAACGAGTGTTGTGTTCTCGGTACCCTTCATTCTGAGAATGGGAGTACACAACTGGAACACCTTTTTATACCAATGGATGTGAAATCCATCACTTCAAAAACCTACAAGAGTATCGAGAGAAGGTTGGGACCGCAAATTGAAAAGGTAGCAAGAACGAGTTGCTTTACCTGGCTTGATCAGGAAGTAGAGAGGACGGACGGGAACAACGACCTTGCAATCTCCTACGATATGGGGTGGCAAAAAAGGGGGAATGCTCGGAACTCACGGACAGGACGAGGCACTGCTGCTGGACGAGCTACCGGTAAAATTGTTGACTTTGAAACGAGGAACACCACCTGCCAAATATATGAGGGCGCGTCCAAGTCAGGAAAGCGGCCACATACTCACGACTCTCGAAAGAATCATACTGGCTCTTCCAGGTCAATGGAGGCAGGGGCCGCAGCAAAAATCTACGAGCGTGCCAAAGCATGTGGTAATCGCTACTCTACCTTTATAGGAAGACAAGTTGCTGGTAAGTTTGAACAAAAAATACTATTCCACAAATAGCTGGAATGAATGCGTGTTACCTAATCTTGAAAATACGATCTTCTTAAGACCGATATTCAATCTCTTATCAGATTATGACGTGGGAAAACAACCTGATTTCACCCATGTGAAACGAGGATTTAGAGGTGACCTGTACAAAGCTAGATCGCAGATCCCTGTAGGAAGCAAAACCCTACTTTCAAATGCTGTTATATCATACCTAGAGAAGTGCTTTGCTTATGCCCTTCATCAAAACAAGGACCACGAAAAAAGACTGAAACAATCTCTCGAGGTCATGGTACCCCACGCCTTTGGCGACCACGCAAAATGCAGTTTGCAATGGTGCGGTAAGTTAAAAAATCCCTCCGGATATAAACACGTGGGCCTACCAGATGGTCAAGATTTGCAAGGCGCCGCCCTCAAGAAGTGTCTTACTGATGTCATTTAAAAATATACAACGCCAGACATGCTGAAAAAGATCGCACACTTTCATCTTCTCAAAAAAATGAAACAGCAAACAGTGTAATCGGCACCAAGTCTCTGGAGATCAGATACTACGGGGGGAGCAAAAGTAACGACTACAGAGTTACAGCAGGTGTTGCACAAGTGAATGAAGGTAAAACTGTTGGCATAAATTTACTAATCAATGTCAATGGTGATCGGAAATGCGGTAAAATTGGGGGGAAATTTGCGTATCATTTCTGGCGTTTCATGTTCTTAACGAAAGCGCCACGGTATATCTGCGACCATTACTGTTTAGTGTTAAAAATTCGTAGATCCAAAAAATATTTTGCCACCCCCTACTAAGACAAGGCTGCAGAAAAAAAAGTGTCATAGATGATGGTAGGCGACAAAAGGGTGGGGGATCACTGTTTTACCAAGGGTCACGGAGTGGAGCAGGTTTTGCATTATCTATACAGAAGGGGTTGAAAAGCTTCATTGGGGTATCGTTTTTCCAGTGAGCGACTGCACAGACATACATACTTTTACTTTGAAATAATTTGTCTACGAAGAACATGTAAAAAAAATAAAAACAAAGAAAAATCACTAAACTGAAAATGAAATAGTAGACAAAACACGGTTTGCAAACTAAATGTCTAATAATGTTTTATGCACATTGTAATAAAACTAATAGCAGCACAAAAAGGTTTTGTTAATGACTAATATAATCATCGGAAAAGGCCTATAAGGCCCCTAACAAAACAAGGGCAAATTATGCTATAAATTTGACAGTAAATAGATTTCCAAATGTAAATAATAACTGTTATCCGCAAGTGGCATACTGCTTGTGAGCATATCATAGGAAAGTCACAGATCTTGAATATATCATCGTGCGAGAGGGTTTTCATTGCAGTTGAAAATCGGATGGCGAGGTTTTCTTGAACTAGCGGGCTTATTTCGCCTCAGAACGAGAACCTTTGAAGCTAAAAACTGCCAAGTGGTTTCTGCAGATGTTGTGTTTTGTTTTTTTAATATTTTTGTCGAAAAAGAACAGACAAATGCAGAGTAAGTTGGATAAATAGAATATTTTTAATTTCAATGCGCATGTAGCAGAAAGTTGGTTGTATTAAAGCGCTGTGTTCGCCGTAGTTGTCCGATTACTCATTTTCTTCCAACAATTCTTTGGCTAAGAACAACGTTTCAGTTACGAGGTAGTTTGTCAGCTCTCTTCCGCTATTTGTGCGTTTACGTTCACAAATGTGTAGACCTATTATTTTAGCATTAAATTTGACCAAAACTTTGTCGAGCAATTTCTACAGTCACGTTTGCCTTCAAACTTGCAGACAAACTAGAAAGCTCTGAGGCTTATTTGCTGAAGTTATGGAAAAATTTGTCGTGGGATTTCGAAGTTATTTTCATCTTTCGTAAAAATAAAAATATAAATATAGGCCGATATCTCAAAAGTTTTTATACCTACAAGAAAATAAATAACCTTTTCTTAAAGTTCTATCATTATTTATTAACGATGCAAAAAATCGTAGAAATCGGTTGAATCTTTCATTTGGAAAAAAACGTAACCAACACGCATATAAATAGGAAAAGGCCACCCTAAAGAGTTGCAGCAACAATTTGAGAGGCAGCCAAACTTGACGAAAGCGCTAAGCGTTGGCATCAACCCAGATTTGAAATACTATGATATTGACGGCAACTCATGGACTCGTACGCTCTTCACATGCCAATAGTCATCGATCCAACGCTGGTAAAGGCTGCTCAATTAACCGACTTGGAAATTGTAACAGATGCCAAAGGGCAAGAAAAACCAATTCGATACCTTGTTCAGATGTACTTTGGCTTGGACGAAGGCTTCAACGAAACCCTTTGCACAAGAATCCAGACGGCCAAAGGGGGGAATTTCATGTATCCCATGATGCTTTGCCGCTATTTTTAACCTATTCCTCTTGGTTGGATAGTGCGCTTTCATGGTGAGAAGCAAATTTTGGTCTGCTCGATTTTGTCTTTTTCGATTCTGCAGGTTAGTTTCTACTTGAAATATTAATCATTGACATTCCGTTGACATGAACTGTTTTTTCACTCATTTAATGATTTTTTCTCACATTTAGAGTGGTGTTTTCTGAGCCTATTTTTCCGCGACGGTAAACACATGACCGACTGACTTTCAATTATGCGGTAAGTACATCTCTTGTAGCAGGGTTTTGCAAAATAAGAGTATCTAGATAGGAAGAAAAGCGTTGCAAGTTATTGTTTCCGTGCTCCGACCTTGCGATTTCCATGTGTTTGACCTTCTCAAAAAATCGCATTTTTCAGTCTGTTCTTCACCATGACACGACTCAAAGGTGTCAATTTCTCTCATGAGCGAAGCCCGCCAAGCTCGCGCCCCTTTCTGTACAGTTTGTTCTCAGAACCTTCATGGTCAGATGTTAAAGATCACGCTGTAACTTGATTTTTTACTCTTTTTCGTTGTTTCAGTTATATTTCTTGTAAAAATGGATTTGCATGGTTCGCAAAAGCGATCATACGTGGTTACCGGCAACACTCCAAACAAGCCAGCTGGCTTCATTCACGACCCCACAAGCTTTGAGCTGTAAACCATATCGTGTTTAAATAAAGGATATGTATGTAACACTTCGAGACAGGAGCTGAGACGAGACAGAATCACCAGCACGACGGAGTCTGGGTTTCCAGCATTTAAGCCCAACCCAAAGGGTAGTTATTCAATATTCTTTAACATATATATTGTAGTCTTTGATATGTGACGGAAATCAATTTATGAATAGCTTTTGAGCCTATGGTAATTTTTGTTTGTTTTAAGCTTCCCGAAGTATCCTTCAAAAAGCTAGTGAGATCCCCTAAAAGTCCCAAGCAATTGCCATCAGTTCACAAAATATCTTATCCCTGGCAGCTGGCAGAACAAGTAGCGTTAGTACAGTTCGTCGCATTATTCGAGGATTTAAAACCTGAAGGAACCGAGTGGCCCTCATTTGGCAGTCGCCATGAATACTGGAACAAAGCAGCAACTTTCGTTCAAGAAACTGCAGGAACAAAGTACCTGAGATCCGGTAAGCCAAAAGCAGAAACGTTACCTGATTTTTGTATAAAGATTAGTTTGTTTGCCTTTTTTTACGCATCATCTGTTGCTTTCTAAAATGTGCAATTATATGATATCTATATAAAAAAAACTCTACATACACTTGACCAACTGAGAAAGATGTATTAAAATGACCTTTATTCAACATTCAAGTATTCAGGATTCCCTTTGTAAACAAAGATACCTTATATTTAACTGCAATGAATTGGTTTGCAGATTTTATGTATTTATTCAGAAATAAGCTAAATACCACTAATGCCTATTGCTTAAATGATATTTCCCCCCACAAAGCCCGAAAGGTTCTTATCCCCCCCACAGAACCCGAAAGGTTCTTAGTCACAAGTTTTGAATATAAACCACTCCAGGAAGTACATCAGTATTGCTTTTTGAAGCCAGTTAATTGGAAAAGTATTACTTAATATCATGTCAGTAAAGGAAACCCATTCTGTATGATTGGCATGTAGGCACTTAAAAGGGGTTAGAAAAATGTGTTTAAAGAATAGTTATGACACACAGTTTTTGTTTTACCTTTTTAGCAAACCAATAATTTTTGTAATTATTCATGTAGGTAGCAGTATTCGACAGCTACTCCTAGGGGAGTTGAAAAAGAAGTTCAAGTGTATCTCTGAAGCAGAAGATGCTTTGGGCATCACCATAGAATCATACTTGTTGAAAAAGTCACCAGGTTTGGCCAGTCTGCCTGGTGAGTTCCAGTATCTAAGAATGTCACCTTCGTTATCAGGACATATGAAGTCCCTGACAAATAGCCAAGTCTCTGACTTAATAGTGGAGGGTTTGATGTGCCTTTTATAAGAGACACGTGGAAATGCACTAGCTGCTACATTTAGCAATGTTCTATTGGCCTTCTTGAAGAATGTGGATGATATGGATATTGTTATGTCAATCATGGATGACTTGTCTGTATGGTTTGCTGCCATAAAAGGAATTGTATCATACCCGAAGAATTTTGTGCAGACGTCTCTTGCTGCCATGAAGAGACTTGAAGCCAATGGAAAGAGTAATCCGGTTTATAAATTTTGGCAAGTGTTGACATTTGACAGACCTGACAAGTCTTGACCATTAATCCCTATCAACACGATGCCATTTGGTTTACTTGACAACTGCATTGAATTTTTTACATGTACAAGTGTCATACAGGTATAAATCATTTTATTAGATTTCTTTTTTGTCATGTTCACCTTTAAGGTTTATAGGAGCTTATCTGTAACAGCAGGGTATTTTTCTTCACTTACAATGTAGATGCTAATGCGAGAAATTTAGTTAGGTTCCTCTTAATAACGGTTAAGCGCAGTTTTACTTCTCATCTGCTTCATCGGAACATTTATGACAATAAAAAGTGCAATGTGTTACTTCTGATGTTTTGTTATTAATCACCTGTCAGTTATTGCTTGATATATTATCTAATAAGGTTTTTTGTTTTTAATTGCAATCAGATTAAAGAACCAGAAGACTTTAAATTGTGGCATGAAACAATGGTTACAGAGTTCCCTGAACGTATGCAGAGACTCCTAGCTGGACCTATGTAGAGTGGTGTCAATGCTCAGGATGTTCGAAACCCACTCAAAGTAAGATGGCTTTGGAATGTTTTCATTATCTTTTTAAAATGTTTTGCCATTCTACAAATTGAGTAAACTTACAGTACACAACAGGAAGGGAGAGGAAGGCGGACGGCAAACCTTATGAGACAAGCATGATATAAACGGAAATTTTTCCATCAAACTTCGACTTCTTTGAACAGTTCTTTTTGAAAAAAGACGAGAAAAAATTAATGTTAAGGAAGATCAACACAACATACAAGTAATAGCCCTTTCATGTTTGTCTCACTCAAGGGAGTTGCTGTCCCCTTCTTCATGCTCCCCTATCCCATTTTCATTTCATTTTTTAACTTGAAGAAAGATTAATCTTTAAATCTATCACCATTGTAATATACAGTGTACTTGGGAGACAGTTATGTTAACATGTATGAAATGGCCAAGTAATTTTTTGGCCGCAAAGGTAGCAGCAACCTTGATAGAAGTATCCTAATTTTTTTCATCTCCTTTGATCTTTTAATTGACACTGCACCCCGTTTTGAGTTTGATGATTCCCCAATTCATGCACACTTAGGCCCGTGTAAATGTTCAGTGCACAAGCAAGGCCACCTAACACAGAAGAGACAAAAAAATCGCTGTTTACTGCAACAAACAATGTGAAGGTTTGTCATTGTTTTGTAACATCATAAGTGTTTGAGTGACTTTCTAAGTGAACAATTCCAATGATTCATTGAAAGTCAAATTTCACAGCTGGAACTCCAGAGGTTCATATGGTGTATTTTATGTCACTGTTATCAACATTGTTCACTCATGTTTTTGTTTCTAGAAACAGCAAACATGTTGTAGTACTTGTTTTAGTTTATTATTCTGTTTTCAATTTTGTACATCCATGTTTCCTGATTGTACAAGTAATCCGGAATGTATTTTTAGCATTGTGGTTAAAATTTGTGACACTGAATGTAAAAGTGAAACTTGCTTGACTTATCCCCTTTTTATTATTTAGACTGCAGCACTGAACCAACTTAAAGAAGCCAATCCTAAAGGAAGATTCTGGTTGAAATTAGATGCTACTGACCTCAAGGAGGAAATGATGGAATCAGCATTTGATATATGGAATGGCGATGTAGACCTGGGTAATGGGCAGCTGCAGCTGTTAAGAAGTGAATATGATACCAGAGTGAACCTAGCCACCTTGATCAGTACCACTGAAAACCGTAACAGACTTGAGATAGAATTGCTGAAGCTGGAAGACAGTCTGGGTGAAGACATCCCCTTTCTTGATGAGGGCTTGAAACTAGCTGTTGAGGATTACCGGAAAAAAATTGACAACAGGACTACCCCAGAAGAAAACCTGAAGAATGCCAACTGGAATGTTGTGGAGTTTCAGACCTTGCTTCAGAAGGCCCAACTTTTAAATGGTTCCTACGAGGAAAAGCTAATACCCCGATCACACCAACGCTTAAACATGTTTAAATAATGTTTAGTTAAACTCAGTTTAAAATAAAAACAGTTCACATCGCGCGCTGACGCAATCTAAACATGTTTAAAACGTGTTTAACTAAAGAAACCTGTAGGAGGTAGTTTAACTTTCGCGCGAAACTAAACTACTTCAAAATGGCGGCTCCAAAAAAAGTTAGCGGAAGAACGTGGGAGGACAGGTAGACTAGACTTTTGCTCGAAAAATGGGGAGACGAAAACGTACAGCTAAGACTGAAGTCCTGTACTACGAAAAAGCCAATATGGCAAGAAATTGGCAACTTTTTAATGGCCTGTGGATATGAAGACCGCAACGGAGAAGACGAACTTAAGAAGACGGGAAACGCCACACCAAGCAAAAAACCGCCATTCTTCGATGAGCTGGATAAAATACTAACCGATGAGCCGAGTACACAACCAAAAGTTGTCATCAATTTGACAACAATTGTTACGGCATCATCGTGTGAGGACGAAAGTGAAAATATTCAGATCATCCCGAAGGGCAGCAGCAGCAACAGCGACAACAGTAGTAGTAGCAGTTCTTCTGAAGTATGTCAGGAGCATGTTTTGGCAGGTAATTTGTAGCTGTTTCTCTCGTACAAACTGTGTTTCTTTTTTCGCAAGCGGAAGTTATAATAGAAAAGTTAAAAACAAACCTTTTCCCCAAGGACGCCACCAAAATATCATAACAGGATATTCTATTGGGCAACGAAACAATAGTTGAATGATAAAGCAATGAACGGTTTGTTTTCGAAGGCCAATGAAAATGGAGGTTTCCGAGAGCACCTTACATGAAGTACACTGTATTTTCAGAAACAGCGAAGAAAAATGAAGAGAAGAAGAAAACTTTCACAGGAAAAAAGAGGAGACTTTCAGCTGCCGATGGTTTCAACAAAATCGACAAGGATTTAGAAGCCTTCATGAATTACCAACAAGAAGCTCACAGGCGTTTTTGGGAGGCAGAGGAAGAACGAGAAAGAAGAGAGGTAGAAAGGCATGAGAAACGACGAAAAGAAGATCAGGAGTTTTCACAATTCGTGTGAAATTTCACACGAATTGTGAAAACACAGGTAAAATTCTGAAAATTTCATGTGTAAGGTGTAATTTTTGACATTCACTTTCCCGGGCTCTAATAAGCAATATTTTTTTTGTGTTATTACAGATAACTAATTTCATCTTTAGTCCTTGAACGATGTAAAAAAGCAGTATGCTTAGAATTATTCTGGTAGAAGGTTTTTGTCCACTTAAAAATTAATATTATTCAATTCCCTGATTGATTCCGTCGTACCACTTTACTCTATCATTTTGTGCGACAGATAATAACATCAGGGACATTTGACCCAGGCCTCTCTGACCACTGCCTTGTTTATGGCATCATAAAGCTACAATGCAAGAGAACACCCCCGAAATATATTTCAGCTTCTTTGAACACATTTTTAAATTTCTCGTCAATAAACGTGGCAACTGTCTTCATGACTTCCGAATCTCCTTCTCTCTTTTTTCCCTCTCGGGGTCTTGTCTTCTTGAGTTGCCTCCTTCTCTCCCATGAAGACAACTTGCTGCTGAATGATTAAATTTTTCTAAACATGATTGTTTATTCCTTGTGAGCAATGGTGTTAAATTTCGTAGCATCGAAAATCCCTTTCGCCATTGGTGCAGAACTTTTGACTACACAAATAAAGGTCGCCTTTAGTTATCTGATTGGCGAGTTTCGATCCTTTACAGAGCAGAGCTTTCATAGGCAGGTGCATATAAAAAAGGTAGTTACTCCGATAAAAGAAGGGGAGGCAATAATGATAATGATAATGATGATTATGATCATGATGGTAATAAAAATGATGATAATGATAGTAATTTTTCTCATACAAGGATGAAGGCCTTGATTATGCTTTAGGTGAGGAAGACAGAACTGCTGAGATTCTGAAAGACCTAGAGATCACTGATTATGACAATGCTGAAAAGATTCGAAGTCAGCCTGAAATGACACCCCAAAAGACAAGATCATACCTTAATAAGGTAATAGTTAATGCAAATTTTCGGACAAATCAGTTGAAAGGTTATAAGTCACGAGTTACACATTCATATAAGGAGGGTAAAATAGGAGAAGCAGAGAGGTATCAGGAAAAGCAAAGAATAGATGATGCAAGGGCTGTCATAAACCAATATATCAAACATTATGGAAAAAGGAGAGAGGGAATAAAAGGTTCTGGAATAAGAAGAAGGCGGCAGTGTCATGTTTTTTTTCAAAATATTGTTTAAAATGTTGGAACTGATCATAGGAGAAATAATGGCTGGTAACACCGTGCTTAAAATACGTAAAATGGGAGTTTCAATATTGGACACTCATTTAAGAACCTCAGTTATAAACAAAGCCCAGCATAATAAACTATACAAGCAATATTTTAATCTAGTCTAATTATATAACATATGGGACGAGAAATAGTTTTAACCTCCTACTCGGTTAAAAATAAGTGAAATAATAAGCCTGGAAACTTGCTACCAAATTCACGAGGTCAATAGTCTTAGATAATAATCATGACTATGCTATTGGCCTCAACAGAATAATCAACATGAGCTTCACGTGGTTCAATANAGGAAGACAGAACTGCTGAGATTCTGAAAGACCTAGAGATCACTGATTATGACAATGTTGAAAAGATTCGAAGTCAGCCTGAAATGACACCCCAAAAGACAAGATCATACCTTAATAAGGTAATAGTTAATGCAAATTTTCGGACAAATCAGTTGAAAGGTTATAAGTCACGAGTTACACATTCATATAACGAGGGTAAAATAGGAGAAGCAGAGAGGTATCAGGAAAAGCAAAGAATAGATGATGCAAGGGCTGTCATAAACCAATATATCAAACATTATGGAAAAAGGAGAGAGGGAATAAAAGGTTCTGGAATAAGAAGAAGGCGGCAGTGTCATGTTTTTTTTCAAAATATTGTTTAAAATGTTGGAACTGATCATAGGAGAAATAATGGCTGGTAACACCGTGCTTAAAATACGTAAAATGGGAGTTTCAATATTGGACACTCATTTAAGAACCTCAGTTATAAACAAAGCCCAGCATAATAAACTATACAAGCAATATTTTAATCTAGTCTAATTATATAACATATGGGACGAGAAATAGTTTTAACCTCCTACTCGGTTAAAAATAAGTGAAATAATAAGCCTGGAAACTTGCTACCAAATTCACGAGGTCAATAGTCTTAGATAATAATCATGACTATGCTATTGGCCTCAACAGAATAATCAACATGAGCTTCACGTGGTTCAATATAAATGCTGGGTATGGTAATTAGCTTATCCGATTCAGGAACTAATTTTACAAATATATCATTTCCTCCAGGTGTTTCGAGTTACAGTGATCTTGATACCTATATTAAGGAAAAGCCAGTTATAAAAAAAACCTGGCAAAGACAATGAGTACCCCATCACTCTTACAATTGATGATAGTACTTTTAAAGTGACAATTACACTGAAGACTAACTACCAGCTTGATCTGACCAAATCCAATTTTTATAAGCTGATTGGATTTGATAAAAAGGTTCTCAAAACAGCCGGGAAAAAATAAAATCTCAAGATACGGATATCCTCAATATTCATTGTGACCTGGGAAATGACAGTCTTGTTGATGGAGAAGAAAGTGACATTATTTACAGCTTTAGTATAAGCGTCCTCAAACCATCATACAGTTTTACTCTGGAGCCAAGAAGAATCACTTATAATCCGATTAATAAACAAGGAATCACTAGTATCACTTCTGGAACTGGTTTGGTAAGAGTAAGTGCTGAGGGGCTCGTCTCGATCTTACAGTACTTTCACCAAGAACATTTTCTTGACCCGACTAACTACCCCTGGGTCTCCGAGGATGCTCCCGCCCCTGCTTCTTCTCCTAGTTTGGCCGGGGCACAGCAGTTCAGCAGCTGCCTACAGAGATCCCTGTGGTAAGTTCCTCAGTTGTGCAGTCAGTTCCTGTTGGCAATCCCTCAGCTGTGGACCATGTTGCACAAGTGGTACAGTTAGTCCACTCTTCATTGGAAGGTGAGGGTCGATCAACAGGGGCACTCCAACCTAAGGAAATATTCACCTCAGTTAATTTGCCAGTAGATGTGGAAGCACCATTGAAACTTAAAACAAACATCTGGAATAATGAATTTATTGCCTTTGGTTTTCTCTTGGCCAACCAATTTGTTGTTGTTGTTGGGAGGCTCGTCCAAATTGGCTTCTATTAGAACATGGCGCGGAGAAGTTTTATGGACTTCGTCTAACCCGTTTTGCTAATCGCCTAGGTTGTCCAGTAGGTCCTGATAATGGTCGTGCGTGCTGAGGTGATTCAGTGGCTGTACCTGACACAAATACTTGACGACTTCCCTCAACCCCACGAGGTCATCCTTCACTCTATCTTCATAGATTAGAACCGTCAAGTCATTAGGTACCAGAGTATCCCTTTCCTTTATACTAGCTTTAAATAACAACTCAAGGTGAGTTTCAGATCTCCAACTATCACGTGGCCTCCTCTAATATGCCTTCTCGCCTACTGTTTAGAAAAATAGCCTCTCCCTCTCTTATTTTTCCACCGGGTTATTTCAGAGGTAACTAATTTCGTCCTACTTTCTACAATGTCATCCACAGATCTCTTTAGGGCTGCTATCTCTAGCTCTATATCTTTCTGTTTCTCTTCTAAATCCTGCCTTGTTTTTTCGTCTTTACATGTCACCACACCACAAACAGATATGTATTCCATATCTTCTTTCCTTAATTTGTACAGCTCAAAACTACATCTAAGTAATCTACCACATAGTTTGTCAATTCGTTCCAAGTCACTCTTCAAGCAAGAAGTAATGAAACGAGATTTGATAACCTTTTCATGCCAAATCTGTAAAATATTTGACATTGTGTTGTTTAAGCATCCTATGCTATTTAAACATCCTTACTTTTTAACTAACGGACAAACAAGTGATTTTTCTCGCACATATGAGTATTTTAAGT